TCACATGATGCTACAATTATCATTGATAGGAGTCCGTTGCCAAACATAAGAGTTTTGGTCACGTGACCACGGGGATGCTGGAATGGACATAAGTGTGAAAAATGGTCACAAGTCACAAATTTTCAGTACCGTTGTCACTTCAAAAGGTCACTAAATGAACTGTTGTAAGTCAAGAACTACCTGTTTTCTTGGTAGAGAGCATAAAAGCTCCAGTAATTAATATCATTTATCTATTATATTTAGAACAGAGGTGGGGAACCGTGTCCCTTTTATGACTGGTGGACTTCAACTCCCAGAATTCCTCAGCCAGAGTGCCTGGCTGAGGAATTCTGGGAGTTGAAGTCTACCAGTCGTAAAAGGGCCACAGTACCCCAGCCCTGGTTTAGAAGGAAGCTTTTGTCGCTGTGGCGGATACAGCTTTGAGCTGGCGTCAGTGAGAATTTGTTTGGCTGGTTTCTGTTCTCTGCATCTGCATCCACAACGCTCCACTTCACGCAATTACCTGACTTAAGTTTGAATGGCAGATACAAATCCTTCCTTTTATTTAGATATTGCATTACAATAATTCTCAGCCTGGAAATGATATAAGAATGTTATATATACTATAAAGCAGGTGGGTTGTTTCCTGTTGGCATTTCTTCTGATTCAGAGCGTAGTCATCCGCGTTCAATCAAACTAAAATTGAATTATTCACCCTGTCTTAACTGACACACCGCACAATTGCTGCGAGGGACCATTACATATGAGGAGGAAATCCGTGTATGCTTAAGATCAGCTCTCTGGAGATATACTCCCAAGTTTATGGCGAGAACCAGTTTGATGTAGTTAGTAAGAAGCTAACCTAGAAATCAGGAGAATGTGTTTAGGCGTGAAAGTTGGCTGGGAGACTTTGGGCTAATCATCCGGAAACGGTGAATTCTAATCCCGTTTTAGCCATGAAAGCTGGCTGGGTGGCTGGACCAATCACCAGGAGATGTTCTAGATTTTGGGCCAATCACTAGGAGACAGTGCTAGTTCTGCTTAGGCATGGAAGTCAGCTGGGAGACGTGCCAATCACCAGGCGATTGGGAGTTCTAGTTCTGCTTAGGCATGAAAGTCAGCTGGGAGACTCTGTGCCAATAGCCAGGCGATTGGGAGTTCTAGTTCTTCTTAGGCATGAAAGTCAGCTGGGAGACTTTGTGCGAATAACCAGGCGATTGGGAGTTCTAGTTCTGCTTAGGCATGAAAGCCAGCTGGGAGACTCTGTGCCAATCACCAGGAGACTGGGAGTTCTAGACCTGCCTTAGGAATAAAAGTCGGCTGGGAGACTTTGGCCCAATCACCAGGAGACTGGGATTTCTAGACCTGCCTTAGGAATGAAAGTCAGCTGGGAGACTTTGTGCCAATCACCAGGAGACTGGGAGTTCTAGTTCTGCTTAGGCATGAAAGTCAGCTGGGAGATTTTATGCCAATAACCAGGAGATTGGGAATTCTAGACCTGCCTTAGGAATAAAAGTCGGCTGGGAGACTTTGGCCCAATCACCAGGAGACTGGGAGTTCTAGTCCTGCCTTAGGCATGAAAGTTAGCTGGGAGATGTGCCAATCACCAGGAGACTGGGAGTTCTAGTTCTGCTTAGGCATGAAAGCCAGTTGGAAGACTTTGGCCCAATCATCAGGAGACTGGGAGTTCTAGTCCTGTCTTAGGCATGGAAGTCAGCTGGGAGACTGTGCCGATTACCAGGAGACTGGGAGTTCTAGTTCTGCTTAGGCATAAAAGCCAGTTGGATATCCTTGGCCAGTCATTGGCTCAGCCCAGCCTACCTCACAGGGTTGTTTTTGTAGGGAAGAGAGGAGGAGGAGGTAGGAGTATTAGTTTTGTTTGCTGCCTTGAGTTATGTATCAAGCAATAAAGTCAGGAGCAAGTCTAATAAAGAAATAAATAAAACACCCTCTGGTGCTTTCTCAATGCAGGAGGACCACAATGGCATGGAGGCCGATCTGGACAAAGACGAAGTGTTACAGCCCCAGCAGGGCGAACTCTCAGGAGAAAAACTCCTGACCACCGAATATTTGGGAGTAAGTACAGCAGTCCACCGGGTTGGGATGGTATTGGAGTACGCGGGCAAGACTCCGCAGCCCATAAGCCTTCCCTTGCTCTATTTTCAAAGCAGTGGGATGTGATCCTCTGAGCTTCGAAGCTCCCTGGATCTGCCCTAAGTGCCGATTACCCTTCTCTGTCAATATCCAGCTGGTGATTCCGAATAAAACTTCATTCCCTTTCCGAAAACCATGCCGTTTATTGAATACACGGCACGGTAACGTTGAAGCAAAACTAAGTCTGAGGTTCCCACACCAATTGATAGACTTAAAACAATTGCTTTCCCAGCCAAACCCCCAACCTCTTACGTAATCCATATGAACAAGTCCACTTTGTTACGGGAACCGTCCGCTTCAGATCCACACCTGTTCTGGTGTCCTTGACAAGGCTTCAGGCTCCCACGGTCTGTGGCTGAATTAAAGAAGTTTCGTCTCTCCGTCTATCCACTTGAAAGTAACACCTTCCCCCCGCCCCGCTCCCCCCATCTAAAGGCAAAGTTTCATCCTTGACATGCACACATTCGTAGACCTGGGCTTTCGCAAAGCCCAGCGTGTGGAATGGGGGAAAGAGATGGTTGTTGCCCCAGAGCAGGGGGTCTTCCAACTTGGCCCTTGTATGACTTGTGGACTTCAACTCCCAGAATTGTGGGAGCTGAGGAATTGTGGCTGAGGAATTGTGGGAGTCGAAGTCCACAAGTCATACAAGGGCCAAGTTGGAAGACCCCCTGCCCCAAGTGTTACGTGTTTCATTTGGTGCACAAATGAAACACGTAACAAGTGTCTAGACAGGCCAACTTTCTCCTTTTTCTCACGGCTCTTGGACTTCTCCCTTCCAAATAACTTCTCTCTCTCTCTCTCTCTCTCTCTCTCTCTCTCTCTCTCCCTTTCTTTCAGATCATGACCAACACCCCAAAAGCACGGAAGAAGAGCCTGTCCAGTGTCCGTCACAGTGTGGATGAGCCTCTTCAGAGACCAGTGACCCCCAGCTATCACAGGGCACATTACCCAACGTAAGTCCGGGCAGACCCACCAGAATCTAGAGATGGGATGCTCCCGATTCACGGGAACGTGATTCAGCGAGGAAAAGATAAGTGATGAAATAAAGCAGAGATGACTCAGCACTTATTGTGGTTTTTTTTTTTTTTTTAAGAATGTTCCTTTACAACAGGGGTCTTCAAACTTGGCCCCTTCATGACTTGTGGACTTCAACTCCCAGAATTCCTCAGCCAGACACACTGGCTCAGGAATTCTGGGAGTTGAAGCCCACCAGTCATGAAGGGGGCCATAGTTCCCCCACGCTGGCTGAGGAATTCTGGGAGTTGAAGTCCGCCAGTCATGAAGGGGCCAGGTTTGAAGACCCTTGCATTAGAAAAATGGGTTCCAGAAAGAACATGACGTACAGGTAGTCCTCGATTTAACGACCACAATTGACTTCAGAATTTCTGTGGCCAGGCAAGACAATTTTTTAAAGTGAGTTTTGACCCATTTTACGCCCTGTCTTGCCACCGTCCTTAAGCGAATCACTGCAATTGTTAAGTCAGTCACACGGGGGTTACGTGAATCCGGCTTCCCCCCCTCATTGACTTTCCTTGTCAGAAGGTCGTAAAAGGGGGATCGTGTGACCCCGGGACACTGCGACCGTCGTAAATAGGAGTCAGTGGCCAAGCATCTGAATTTGAATCACATGACCACGGGGAGGCTGCAACGGTCATTAAGTGTGAAAGACGGTCTTAAGTCACTGTTCACAGAAAAAAAAATAACAATAAAGCTATCCAATAATAAAGGATAGCCTTTGTTGTCACCTTTTTTTCTGTGAACAGTTGTAAAGTAGGGGGGATATTAAATTTTGACAGCGCAGCCTCGGGGGGGGGGGCGAGGGGTGTCACATCACTCTGAACACGAGACTTGGGTTGTGGGTCCATTTTTGGCTGTGGGCTGTTTTGCTAGTTTCCCACCTCTGGTGTGAGATCTTTTTCCCTTTGGTTTTGTACCAGAGGGATCCGAACCGAAGCAACCAGTTCAATTGACACCCAGCCAAAATAAGCAAATTAAGAGAGATTGAGATCCAGAAGGAATTTATGGACCGAGAGGCGATGCACCCTACCCTGTTCCGTGAAAGCTCAAGGGCTGAGCAATCGGAGATCTCCAGCGAGAGATAATCCACCTGCTTTTCAACCCTCAAAAACTGCTGCCAGTATTTTATTTTATTTTTTCACTTTTATTGCTGTGTTGTTGCTGTTTTGAAGAAAGCAGGCCTCCTTCCCTGCTCTGTTATTTTCATCTTTAGGGAGCCTCTGTGCTGGGATAGGTTGAAAAGGTAAGCAGGTGTTATGGAGGCTTCGTTTTGTGGCCTCACCTTGTAGCTTTTGTCTTGAGATCCCATTTGCAGGATCCACAGAACTGTGTGGAAGGAGGAGCAGCACTGAAGAGTCGGCTTCTGTACCGGTTCAGATACTGGCCTGGAAACGAGGAGACTGGGAGTTCTAGTCCCGCCTTAGGCATGAAAGCCGGCTGGATGATTTTGGGCCAGTTATCAGGAAAGTGGGAGTTTTAGACTCACTTTCCGCAGGAAAGCCAACTGCCTGACTTTGGGACAATCACCAGGAGAGTGGGAGTTGTAGTATTGCCATAGAGGTGAAAAATAACCATGTGACTTTCGGCCAATCATCAAGAGACCGGGCGTTCTAGTCCTGCCTTAGGCATGAAAAGCAACCATGTGACTTTGGGCCAATCACCAGGAGACTGGGAGTTCTAGTCCTGCCTTAGGCATGAAAGCCAACTGCATAACTCTGGGCCAGTTCCTCTCCCTTCCACCTCACAGGATTGTTGTTTTGGGGAAATTAGGAGCAGGAAGGAGAATTAGGTATGTCTGTAAGCCGGAGTTAGTTTTAGAAATAATGAAGGTGAGAAAAAGATAAATAAAACAATAAATAAATCACCAGGAGTTGGTGAGTTCTTGTCTCGTGGTTGGCATGAAAGCCGGCTGGGGGATTTGGGGCCTATCACTAGGAAACTGGGAATTTCTTCACCCCAGCTAGAGAGGGGGAAAAAAATAATAAAATGGAAGGCACTTTGCATTTGCTGGCTCAGACAAAAAAATATATGCATTGGTGGAAACCATGTCCAATATTTTAAACATGGAAAAAGCAACTTACTTATTCAGGCTTGCTACAGAAAAAAAAAAACCATTGATAAATTTGCTTTAAAAGAACCCACTCGAATGCACAGGCGTCCTTATATATCTGGAAGGCAACCATTTCTATCTTTAAATTAAAACCAGTGGTTTAATGGTATTTAGGTAATACAGGGGAGCAACTGAAAATAGAATCCTAAGTTACCAAGTGCACGCAGAGAGAAAGGATGAGATTCGATTTTTCAATAATCTTACTAGGAAGATATACCCTTAAATGCAGGCTCATAAGGAACGGCTGCTGGAATTGGGTCTATCTAGTTTAATGAAGAGAAGGACGAGGGGGGACAGGATAGCAGCCTTCCAGTATTTCAGGGGCTGCCCCAAAGAAGAGGGAGTCAAGCTATTCTCCAAAGCGCCTGAAGGCAGGACAAGAAGCAACGGAGGGAAACTCACCAAGGAGAGAAGCAACCTGGAACTAAGGAGAAACTTCCTGACAGAACAATTAACCAGTGGAACCACCTGCCTCCAGAAGCGGTGAATGCTCCAACACTGGAAGTTTTTAAGAAGAGACTGGACAGCCATTTGTCCAAAATGGTATAGGGTTTCCTGCCTGAGCAGGGGGTTGGATTAGATGACCTCCAAAGTCCCTTCCAACTTTACTATTATGATTGTTATGATTATTATCTAGTTTAATGAAGGACAAGGGAGGACATGATAGCAGTGTTCCAATATATCAGGGGCTGCCCCAAAGAAGAGGGAGTCAAGCTATTTTCCAAAACCCCTGAACGCAGGACAAGAAGCAAGGGATGGAAACTAACCAAGGAGAGAAGCAACCTAGAACTAAGGAGAAACTTCCTGACAGTGAGAACAATTAACCAGTGGAACAACCTGCCTCCAGAAGTGGTGAATGCTCCAACACTGGAGGTTTTTAAGAAGAGACTGGACAGCCATTTGTCCGAAATGGTACAGGGTTTCCTGCCTGAGCAGGGGGTTGGACTAGATGACCTCCAAGGTCCCTTCCAACTTTATCATCATCATCATCATCATCATCATCATTATTATTATTATTATTATTATTATTATTATATTTTAATGTTCTCGGTTTACCCAAAAGATGCAATTTTCTTTTTTTTTTTTGGAGAGCTGAAGTCCAATTCATAAACCGAAAGAACATTTGGAACACGGCTGGCTTTCCTGACTGAGCGGCATTTTCCAAGCAAAGGGAAATTGCAATTTCCTTTTCAGCTGGGCTTGAAAAAAATCCCTCGCCCTGAGCTAGGGACGGTCTCGCTTTTTAAATTGCATGCATTGCTTTATTTCTTGGTTCCCATTTCCAGAGTGTCAGCTGGGAACCAGAAAGATATGTTTGCAGAGGCTCATTTCATATCTTCAGGGACCCCTGCTCTAGAGAAGCCTTGGGACCTCTGTAGAATTTGCATTGTGGGTGTGTAAGGATTGGTTAATACAGCTTAATATCCACAGCTTAATATTTACGCCAGCTTAATAGCTAAGCTAATCAAGATCAGCTGAAGTATTAATACCACTTTACCAGGCCTTGGTAAGGCCACACTTGGAATACAGCATCCAGTTTTGGTCACCACGATATAAAAAAGATGTTGAGACTCTACAAAGAGTGCAGAGAAGAGCAACAAAGATGATTAGAGGTCTGGAGGCTAAAACATATAAGGAACGGCTGCTGGAATTGGGGATGTCTGGTTTAACGAAGAGAAGGACGAGGGGGGACATGATAGCAGTGTTCCAGTATCTGAGGGGCTGCCCCAGAGAAGAGGAAGTCAAGCTATTCTCCAAAGCGCCTGAAGGCAGGACAAGAAGCAACAGATGGAAACCCATCAAGGAGAGAAGCAACCTAGAACTAAGGAGAAACTTCCTGACAGGTAGAACAATTAACCAGTGGAACAACCTGCCTCCAGAAGCGGTGAATGCTGCAACACTGGAAGTTTTTAAGAAACTGGACAGCCATTTGTCTGAGATGGTATAGGGTTTCTTGCCTGAGCAGGGGGTTGGACTAGATGACCTCCAAGGTCCCTTCCAACTTTATTATTATTAAGCCAGCTTAATATCTACGCCAGCGTTCCTCAACATGACCAGCTTTAAGATGAGTGGACTTCTCGCGCAAGTTTATTTATTTATTTTATTTATTTATGAGACTTATATACCGCTTTAAGTGCAAGCACTCTCTAAGCGTTGTACACCAGTAAGCAATGTATATATATATTTACATTGCCCCCAACAATCTGGGTCCTCATTTTACCTACCCCCAGAAGGATGGAAGGCTGAGTCAACCTTGAGCCGGTGAGATTTGAACCGCTGACCTGCTGAACACCGTCAGCTAAAGTGGCCTGCAGTACTGCACTCTAACTGCTGCGCCACCTCGGCTCATTTAAGTTAGGCCCCAAGCACACCAGCCAGCCACTCACGCTGCCCATTTGGGAACAGGCCATGATGGAGCCATAGTCAGCTGCAGCCCACAGGTTGAGGACCCCTGTCCTAGTGGACCATCACTTAAGGGCAGTGCTTCTCAACCTTGACAATTTTAAGGCATGTGGACTTCAATCCCAGAATTCCACAGCCAGCAACGCTGGCTGTGGAATTCTGGGAGTTGAAGTCCACATGCCTTAAAATTGTCAAGGTTGAGAAACACTGCTTAAGGGTGAGCCAGCAGTGTGCCAAAAAAAAAAAAAAAAAAAAAGCCAATGCAGTCCTAGGCCTGAATAGGACAACTTGCTACGGGACAATTCCATAATTCCATTTAATTCTTTAAAAGAATTTTTAAAACATTTGTTTTAAATGCTGTCGTTCGCCTGTCATTTTCTCCCTCGCCTTTCATCCTGGCATTCTTTCTGGAATGATTCTGTT